ACACAAGTCACCACCGATGCATGCTCGATAAAACGGGCGGAGCGAGAACACATCCGGGACTTTTTCGCGTTCTCGGCTTGATGCGTACTTCGAATTGGAACAGTACTTGATGACGTATGACGTATGACTGATGACGTATCACGAGAACACAAGAACGCAAGTACGCACAAGTACGCATATTGAGAAAGGCCCCTAGACTTCTGTCCTCAAAGTTAGGTCAGTAGGGCTAAATGTCGTGGAATCCATTTTTCCAAGCAATCCACTCCTTCACCAGCTCTCCATGGCTTCAAAGTTCTTTCCCACCCTAACCAAGGCAAAAAAAAAGGACTTCAAAAAGCACCACCAGAGTCTACAGTTCACTTGGTTGGTGCGGACGCCTGGGGTGAGTGAAACTGACAGTTTTTCTCAAGCTTCCGGAGTCTACAAAAATTAGGACTGAGACTGTTAACCTCACCTCAAAATATTTAAAGACTGTTTCTCTATCATGTTTCTGCGACTTCCACCCGCTACTTGCTCAACCACTTGCAGCCTCCACACCACTACCTGATCAACCACCTGTCCAGCCTCCACCAGAGGTCTCTGCACCATCTGATCAAGCTAGGTCCAAACCTGTGGTCAGTGCTCTGCCTGGTCCTGCTCAGTTCAAGGGTCTCCATTGACGTCGGCTTCCAGCCAAGCTGCCCGAGAACCTCCTTCCCCAAATACCTACCAAAGCACGTCAATGCCTACACCGGCTACCTGGCAAGCTACCCAGGATCTCCCATTCTCCTCGATGGAGAATCACTGGTACTGCAGCTCCGCCAGACCTGTTTCGTATACGCCACTGATGCAGCGGTTGTCCACCTGATCTGCTTGGCCTGTGCCATGGTACTGCAGGCGATGTCAAAAAGTACTCCATTAATGCTGCTGGCATTTACATGACTTGCAGCATTATTTATTCTTACAATAATCACACAGTTGCTGTAACAGTACATTCAGCGGCTGCAGCTCTCCTGCTGCCAGCCATACACATCACCACCAACAACAACAACACAAGCAGAGCACAGATTTTAAGCTGTAGATGCTGCTGCAGGTGAATGCATTTCACCTGCAGCGGCATCGCAGACCACACCCCAACCGAGCTGGTCTGGTGGCCACCCATGTGGCAAGCAGTGGTGGTGCAGCAGGCATGGAAGTGAGTCAGGGCTCACTGGCAGTTGGACAGGCAGCCAGCACACAGAACCACGGAGCGTGCCAGCCTTTGTTGGAAGACAGGCCCTCGGGCATTGCAAGACCCCTGCGCACCTTGACCTCCGTCTTCAGCTTTGCAGGTCCCGCTGGCACGCCAGCCTCCGGCTCACCTCGAGTTGGTCCTTCCCGCGAGCTGTCCACCCTTACAATACAATACAACCCTTATAATAATCACACGGTTGCTATAACAGTACATTCAACGGCTGCAGCTCTCCCACTGCCATCCGTACACATCACCACCAAAAACAACAATAACACAAAAAGAGCACAGGATTTAAGCCATCAAGGCATGATTGTAGATGCCGTGCTGGTGAGTCCATCTCACCTGCAGTGGCATCGCAAACCACGTCCCGCCACAATAATAAAGCATTTTGTTTTTAATTATAAACTTTGTCCTAATTATGTCCTGGGGCCTGGGACAACTCGCACTTTTCTCCCTCTCTCCCTCACACACACATAACAGGAGGGGGAGTCCCACACATTCTCCCTGCAGCTTGGACTACACTGCCCATGAGGCTACATTCTTTAGGGCTATACCTGTAATACTGCTCATATTGACTTCATATTAAAATATTTTTGTAATAATTATTTTTAAAAATATTTCTTCACGTCATTATGCGGCCCACAAGTAGGGATGACATGGGCTGTGAGATTGAGAACCAGGCATTAGAGTCTTATTGCATGTTTTGTTTGGGTTTCTGTGGAATTACCAGAAATAGAGAGGGCATAGCCTAACAAATGAAACAAGAAAAGACTGTTGTGTAATCCATTTGTTTGTTAACACTGAAGGTTTTCCAATTAGTTTTAAGGACAACCTGATAATAAATGAATTACAATGATATTTTTTACAACTGTAAGGCTTGGAAGAAAAACTGGATGGACTAGTTTTTCAGCATCATACTAGATAGGATATTTCTGATCCTAAGAATCTAAGGTATTGCACAAATTAAATAAATTCCAACATAATTTTGTAAAATGCACAATAACGGACATATCCTGGTCAGAAACAACTTCAAGATTCTACAAAAGTAGAAAACATTTGAACTACAGAGCAAATACAAAAGACTGAATATGTCTTTCTCATATCTATAAGACTATTCCAGTCTTACCCCAGTTGGTCCTGATCATGGCTTTGTCCAGTTTGGTGATGATGTCTTTTTTAACACCAGAAAGCTGAAACACACAGTCATAATTCCCAAACTCCTCAGGTGTCACTGTTGAAAGGTCCAAGTCAACACTCATCTGGAAAGTGCCGTCATGGTTTGGCAGGATTTCTCCATGATTCACACCTTCATGAATCTCTTCTCCATTCCTTCTCCAGAACATCATGGCCCTGTGGGGGTAGAAACCTGTAGCGTGGCAGCTGACTGAAGAGGAGGGAGTCTTCTGGAGGAGAGACACTGAGGGAAGCTCTGAAGAGAAAATTTGATCAATTAACAGTTAATTGGAAGCATAGGCTTCATGATTATTTTAATGCAGGCTAAATATATATGATAAATCATAAAACTACATCAAGTTTTTAATTTACCTGTTCTCAGCAGAAAGCTCATCCCATACTTCAGATTGGTCTTTAGTCTATAAACACAAACTTGGTTGATGTAATTTGTAAAAAAGATATTTCGAGCACTGTCATTGTTCCATAAATGTTTTATAATGACAGCCTGTGGTTTAGGGCCAATCCATGTTTGTGTCTCCATGTTAAATGTTAAGAAGTCTTCTCCATCATAGCCATACAGATTAAAACCACTGACTTTGTCAGTCTCATCATCCCATTCACAACAAGTCAGTCTCTGGTAAATGTGGACAGCTAAGAAAAACACACAGACTACAGTAAACCAAAGTCACTGTATATATATATATATATATATATATATACACACAAATAAATTTCAGTAAACCTGTTCAATACCTTGTCCCTGTTTCATTTCTCAGCATTAAGGATAATTTATGCATCTATAGTTTTATTTTTGTGCACCTGTTTAATATGATGAGTTGTTACTAGTAATGTTCCTGGCGACCAATTTCTTGACTACATAAGGAAAAAGATTTGACAAACTGACTAGTGTAAAACTAAGACACACTCAGGTATTAATTTGAAAAACCTAAAGCAAAGGCATTTATCTCATTCTTCAATAATGAATAATGCTGCTTAAATGTGCACCTCACATTGTGCAACATGAATTTACTAAAGTGTATATTATGTGTATATTATTTCACATTCCATTACTGAAGCATGATTCTTTTTGCTATTTTAATATGCATGAATCTTCTGGTACTCCATAAAATATATCATGGTATACATTTTTGTTAAATTGATTCCACTTCAGACAGCTACAGCAGGGAAATGCAATGTATACACTGAGTAATCTATTTTAGTGGAACAAAACCAAATCAACAAACTTCAATGTACAAACCTCCCGTCTGGTTTAAGCGCTTTTTCACAGCATGAAATTCTTCTTTAAATAGTTGCTGATGCACTGTGCACTCCCCTGTGTACAGCTTCCAGTACTTTGGATCCTCATCTCTTAATGTTTCCATCCAGTCTTGTTTGGGTATTGCTGTTTTGAGTTTGCTGTCACAGTAACCAACCTCCACATCATCATTCAGCATAACAGCCACAACCTCCGGGAAGTTTGGGACTCCAGAAGATGCAGTGAAGAAAACAGTCATGGAGTGTTTTACTGTACAGAACAGAATATCAGAATGAGACACTAGAAGCATCTAATAACAAGTCTTCAGATAATTAAACACCCAACAGACATATTGTTTCCACTGGTTACGTATGGAAATTGATGAGATAATATTCTATTTAGATATCATAGTTAAACAAAATTCAGTAAATGGGTAAAATTGTAGCAAATGCCATTATATAACTAATGTAAATGTCCTCATGTCAAAAAACATGGTATGGTAACATTTTAGGTCAACATTTTAACTGTAAATACAATTTGCCTGTGTGTTTGTTTCTAAATATGGAATTTCTAATGTTTAATATCACACTGCCAAGAAAACAAATAAACTTTAAAATAGGAACATTAATGCATACTTGCATAAAGATGAATTTGCATACATAAACATAAGATTTCAGAAAATTTGAAATACAAAATCAACTTCTAATGTCTTCTCTTAAAACACTTAAGAGAAGGGTTAAAAAAGAAAAATGCATGAACCTTTACAGTTCTTACTAAGTATCAGAATGAGGAAGAAAGGTGATCTAAGAGAGAAGTCTCTAAGACATATTTCAGAACTGCTGATCTACTAGGAATTTTCCACAAATTTGTCTCTAGAGTTTACAAAGAATGGTCCAAAAAAGAAAATATCAAGTGACCGGCATTTCTCTGGGTGAAAATAAGTTAATGTCAGAGGTCAAAGGAAAACAGCCATAATGCTTTAAACTGATAAAAACAACAGTAACCCAAAGAAAAACTTGTTAAAACCAATACATGTAAAAAAGCATTTTTGAACAAACATCACATCAAAACTTGAAGCAGATGGGACACACCTGCTGCCACTCATTTCAGCTAAGAACAGGAAACTGAGGCAATAGATTACATGGATTCACAAAAATTGGCAGTGGAAGATTGGAAAAAGATTGCCCGATCCGATACGTCTCGATTTGTGATGCAAAATGCAGATGATAGGGTCAGAATTTGGCATAGAGAACATGAAAGCATTGATTTATCCTGCCTTGTATCAACAGTTCAGACTGTGGTAATGGTGAAATGGTAACGGAGATATTTTATCACGGAACTTGAGTATCTTAATAACAACTCAACTCCACAGCCCATCTGAGAATTGTTGGGGACCATGTCTATCCCTTTATGGATATGTGGACCATGTTCCCATCTTCTGAAGGCCGCTTCCAGCAGGCTAAAACATTATGTCACAAAGCTCAAGTCCCATCAAACTTATTTCTTCAAGATGACAATGAGTTTAGCAGGCATTACACACACACACACACACACACACAGGTAGGAACAGAGAATAACCGGAGATAACTCTTTTTTTAAATTATTTTTTCTTCTTCCCAAATACCGCAACAACAACATACTCACTAGCGCCCTCTAGTGCTTCTGGTAAATGCATCTACAGAACAAATGCAATAGTATGTGGACACAAAAGACAATGAGCTCACTAAACTCAAATGGCCTCCAAAATCACCAAATCTCAATCCAATAATGGAAATTTTCCAGCACATTGTTGAATCAGTCCAACCTATTGCTATCAAAGTGTACTTAATAAAGTGTCCACACTCAGGGTATCATAAACCATAGGAAACTGCAGGACACTGCTTTTAATGCAAAAAAAAAAAAAAAAAGTAAAATATTTAAAAGATCTTACCTGAAGATGAAATGTGACAGAAAAGCAGCAACAGCAAAAACTTCATGCTGAATACACAAAGAGGAAAAGCATATAATTTATAGACAAGAACTTTTTGCTGAGGTTGATTTTTCCTGGTTTTGTGTTGCAGCGTTTATTTCCCTCCTTAATCTGTTCACTACTTGAGACTTGTGATCCTCACTACAAAAGTGTTAAAGCTCCAATGTGTGAAAATCAACTTTTCCGTGCTGTCCGTGTCATTTGTGAGAAAGCAGGTTAAGAGTTTGGCATGAAGTACACCTTTCTGCTTCTATTTGCTTTGTTGTTGCTTTTACTGCCTCTCAGTCACACCCATGAAACATCTCTCTGTCAAATTCCCCTATTAAAAACCTGTTCATCATGTTTCTACTTTTAGATTACTTTTACTTTTGATTCACTCAGAAACATGTTCAAGATAAACTAGTTAACTCCTTTCAGTTAACTCCACAGCAAACAAACAGAACAGTATGATATATAATTTGTTATTAGCTAACACTGTGAAGCAATACAGAAATGTTGAAAGAAATAATAATGGAAGCTTTTTAGACCCTACAGAAACCCACTGGAAATATCACAGTTTTGTTTTTTTTTACTGAGCTGTGCCACATGAAGAAACCACCATTTTACCAGTTTCCATAGAGTTTGCACTGTGTTAAGATTTGATACAACAAGAAGTATCTGCCTACTGTTACTGAAAAACATTTGTGTTATACACTTTTGTTCCCCTGTCTTTAAAACTGGTAATATTTGGCAAAATACAAATGCTTCTTTGTGAACAGAGCTGAGGAAATTGAAATTATGACTTAATTTTCCTTTGTTCAATAATAGACTAGCCTAGCTTATTCAGAAATCATTGTAAGACAGTCCTGATTAAGTCACTGAATGATTAAACTGCATGGTACAACTGACAAAGATTAATGTCTCTGATCCAAGGACTTGTAACACTACAATTTGACCAGAGGTGGCAAAAGTACAGATATTCATGTGCTTAAGTAGAAGTCCAGATAATGGTGTTGAAAAATACTCTAGGGAAAGTTGAAGTACAGATTAAATTTCTTTATTCAAGAGAAAGTGAAAATGTACAGACTCTTGCCAAAAAGTAAAAGTATCTCCTTGAAGAATATTTCTACCACCTATTTTTATGCAAAGCTAGCTGTATTTTGTGCTATATCAGTGTAATAATAAAATAATATTAGTAGATGGAAATACTAACTTTATGTCAGTAAAAAGTTAATCATGTAAGCAGAACATCAGCAGAGACCAAGAAGGAAAACAAAATCTGTTTTCTGTTGCCTACATTGTGTAGGGTGTGTTTGTCTCTAAACAGGAAAATAAGTAGAGAGGAGGTTAAAGTGGGATTCAGTGGGGGGGTGGAGGTCCCTAAAACAGTTGGGGAAAAGAATAATAACTCACAATAATTTCTATAAAGGCCTTATGTAGATTTTCTTATTGTACAGGCTGTGATCAATTGACCTGCTGCACATTTTTGGATTTACATACCTATATTCAACAAGATGTCGGCACACATTTCATGAGTCGTCCTGGCTGATTTCCATCCTCTACACTAATCATCCAGAAACTAACCTCACAGCCCATTGTTCATTCAGATGTACTGTTTATAAGGTTGGGCAGTCAGCTGATACTGAAGAAGTCATTTGGATTAGTGACAAAACGTTTCTCCTTCTGAAAACACTATAATAAGGCATTAACATTGCAGGCATATTTTCTGATTGTTGTGCTGTGCAATAATGCAACTTCAGAGTCTTTCCACAAGACCTGAGCCTCTGCAGCAGGTACAGCCTGCTCTGTGCTTTCCTGTAGAAAGCATTTGAATTGTGACTCCAGTCCAGTTTATTCTTCAGGTAAACACTGTCATGTTCAGAATTTTTCAAGACATTTACTTCAGATTCCTTTATTATCATACAGATCTGTTTAATACTGTGATGCATCAAACACTCTGGTTTTAATCAAACATTTAATATTAGACCAAGATAAGCTGAGTAAAAGAAAATTGCAGTTTTTAAATTGTTTTATTCATTAACGAAAAAAAAAGATATCCAAACCTAGACTCTGAATGAATAAGTTGCTCTAAGTTGATTTTCTTAAGTAAACTTTTTTGAGGCAACGACTTTGCACAATTTTTTAAGGGAACTAATTCGATTTTACAGTGTATCTGTCACTATGTAAAAAAACAACTTGTGACCTTTTTATGATTTGCAGCAAAATATGGTGCCAGGTTAACCTTCGCATGCATGACCCATGTCTGTTTGTGCCTTAAAGTGAAAAAGATAATTATTTTTTATTAATGAATTCTTGCTGATGCAGTTTCTCTTTCTTATTTATAGTCTAGCTCACTTGCTCTGCCTCACTTGAACTGAAAAATTGAGAGGTTTCCATTTTTACTTATTGAGCTGCGGAGCATTTTACAAACAGATAAAAAGAAATCCAGACTGAAGGTTTTTGATTTTTCTTTTCAGCTCCTGACAAAGGATCTGAGCTGTCAGAGTGACTAAATCAACAAGGCTGACTGTCCTGTCTCCCTTCCCACCACATCTCACAAGGTTCTCTATTAGACTGAGAGCCGGTGAATGCAGAGGGCATTACAGACTCATTAACTCATGAACTCACTTTGTGACATGTCGTGTTATCCTGCTGGAAGGACAACATGTTGACACGCTGGTCATAAATAAGTGGACATGGTGAGCAACATAGTAGTTGCTGATAACAATCAGGGATGCTGTGGGGTAATATATCCTCCATTGCCAGGACTCTTTATGTTTGGTAAACTACCCCCTGAAGGTGGGGGTTTGTGATTGATTAAACTTGTTTCTCTTCTGTTTGTTTTCAGCCTAGCATCCACAGTTTTCAAGATCTCATGTTCAAATTTTGTGTGACATGTCATTATGGTTGACAGCAATGACAGCTTAAGCTGATGTAATTTTGTAAAAACTGTGTCTAGGTCAAGGCCACACCCTTCAGCAGGAGTTGTGCTCTCTGAGTGCTTCTGTACTTCAGGTGCCCGGGCTAACATATCTTTCCAAAAAACACTGAACAAACAGGAGGACTCGGAGAGCGCAGCGCCCCACGGATGGCAAGGGTTATGCTAAAACTTTACTGCTGTTGTTTGATGTCTTCATTACAACATGCTGAATTGGCTGAAATCTTTCTATAAGCTGTAAAAACCTGAGATGATTCCCTTATCCCCAGATGAACCGAATCAACTTTTGGAGATTTACTTAGCTTAGATGAGCATGCATCAAGATGTAACTCTTCATTGTTTGTAAGCTTTAGAAGCATTATATTACAGTTTGTTTTGTGCACATAGTCACGGCGGTTTTGAGCCTCAGTTTTGTATTGTATAACAGCCATTGAGCTAACGGCAGGAGCTAGAAATGTTGCTATTATTATACATTTGGTGAGGAAACATGTTCCGATATATGTTTAGTAACCACTTTAGTATTTTGGTTTATTATTTAGCTTTTTCTTCCACTCTGTGACATTGAGCAGTACAGGATGTGAAATATTTATGTTCATTTTCATTGCAATAAACAACTGCATGAGAGAAGCAAGTCAAAATCACTCTCGTGATTCTTTCCCCCTGTTTTCAGGGGTAACATGAACACGATCCATCAAAATTGTGCGTAATATAAAGTCTTTACTGATTTTGACATATGGTGTGACCAGACAGACAAACAGAACAGATTACATGCTCCCTCCCTTCGGGGAGCATCAAGGAAGTTGTTTCTAAGTACTAAAGATGTAACACTATATTTAAGTTTATACTTTTATATAGATTAATCCTGTTAAAATAATTACCAGTTTGCAAGAACCTGGGGGGTCACTGGTGAATTATTGCCATTTACATCAAATTATGCATGAAGTTAGAAAATATTTGCACCCTTTGTTAAGAGAACAGAGCAGTTCAACACGGTGAAATCGCACTTTTATTAATGCAGGATGGCATTGAATGTAACTTTACAAAGAATCCAGTCATAATTATACAAACAAGATCACAAGAGCTTCTGTTTTGACCACCAAGCGCCAATTGAGTTGTATTATGATGATACACTATAACACACATGATAATGCATGTGTGTGACTTCCAACCTTTTCAAATAGCGATGAGAATATTTGTACACAAATGCATTCTTGAGTGAATCGAATCTAGCAATGTTTGTCAAATCATTACTGCTTTTGAAACCTAACTTTCAGATGAGTGTTGATCTGAACTTTTCAGTTATTTATTTGTAAAAAATGTTTGGAATCATGTCTGATTTTCGTTCCACTTCTCACGTGTACACCACTTTGTGTTGGTTTTTCACGTGGAATTCCAATAAAATTGATTCATGTTTGTGGCTGTAATGTGACAAAATGTGGAAAAGTTCAAGGGGGCCATATACTTTTGCAAGCCACTGTAGATGAATATCTGCTTATTATTTTACTGGATCATTATTCTGACAATGACAAGACTGAAGCTACCTTTCCTCTGATAGGTATAACTCCCCTAGAATAATAATAATAATAATAATAATAATAATAATAATAA